AAACTGATCATAGTGAAGTATTAAATAATATTTGGTATTCAAATTGGCATTTAGGTTATAATAAATTATCAGTAGAGATGTAATCAGCTTTACTTGAAGCCGGCTTTAGCTGCAGATTTAAGCTAAGCTTAATAAAACCAAGCTGAATAAATAGTCTAAGCTATAATCAAAGCTATGGCTTTAAGTTATAATTTAAGCCAAAGTAAAGATAGCTTTAGCTATGGCTTAAAGTTATTAGCTTTAGCTATAGCTTAAGCTTTAGTTTGAAGTTATTAACTTTTAGCTATAGCTTGAAGCTATAGCTTAATATTAGGAAGTATCTATTTTCATTATAGAATTTTACTATTTCCATCATAGTTTTCACATGACTTTTAGCTATTGTTCTCTAAATTATTGGCTTTAGCAATAACTAGAGCTCTTATCGGGTTAGGCTCATATGAGTCAGTTTCTTGATTAATTATGAGTTAGAAGTTGTCTCAACTTGGGTTAAACAAGTCTTCAAAGGGAAATTGGTAATTAGAGAGTGTCTTGGTATAGAACCTAAGCATGTGTAAAAAATTGAAGCTTAGGGTGCTCTTAAGCATCTTTCTGAGTGTGATTAGATAGTGATTAAGATGACGCATAATTATTACAATTAATGAATATAAAGATTGCATTAAAAAAACAACCATTCAACAAATAAAAAAAATATTACCATTACCAAAAACTTCAAATGTTTTTGTTCCAACTACTACAAATGTCTCTGCTACTTCTTTAGCAATTCCAAATAGTTCTATTGTCTCTTTAGCTAATTACAATACTCTTGTTGTTCCTTTTATGGCCTTATAAAAAAGTTTGTTCTGTTTTTGGTCTATTTTTGTTTAGCTTTTGTTGGTATTGTTCAAAAAATATTCAGAACAGAGTCATTATTGTAGTAAAGGCAGAACAAAAATTGTACATATTTTTATAATTGAAAATTTTAAAAATATACAATTTTTATTCTGTTTTTATACTATAATAACTCTATTCTAAACTTTTTTTGAAAAATATTGACAAAAGCTAAACAAAAGCAGACAAACTTTTTTATAGAGCAAATTTAAAAAATTATTATATGCTGTTATAACAACATCATTTTTCTGTGTCACTATTTAACTCTTTAGTTTTAAATAAAATTAATAATGAATATAAAAAAGAATATATTGAATTTTTATTTAAATTTGTAATTTTTTATAAATAATTAATAAAAAAATTATAGCACGAAGAGTAAAAAAAGTAATTTGTTGTTAATAGCAAAGATCCATATTGTTATTAACCATAGCTGCCGTAACAAAATTAGACTATTACAAAATTGTTTACTAAATTCTGGCCAGAATTAACTTTTAAATTTTTTCATTACAAAAATAGAAATTCTTAACTCACATTATAGTAAAATTGACCCAGGAACAATATTCACTTAATAGACAGCTGTGATTTCATTTTGCCTAATTTTTTGATCATCGCTCTTTAGCCAATCAAAATCAAGAATCTGCCGGTCCAAGGCAGCTCATATTAATATAGTTAGAAGCGTATTTAGTGCAAAGTATAATGATTTGATCGTAAAAGAAAAAAAAATCATTTGACAAAAAAAAAAATAATAATGGTTCGATCGCAAAAAAACTTATAATTTTATCATAAAGTGCTTGAATAATCTCACTCTATGTTTAATTTTGGCCAATAAATGCAGCTCTATAAAGAAAAAAGATGGTCACTAACTATCTTTTTTTTGGCTGTGGTGATAAAATCTCTTGATTGGCTAAGCTAATTTTTATTAATTAAAAATTTATACGCCAATCTATTAATTAAGACACTTAAGAGCACTTTTAAATCACTAATTAAAAATGATAAGAATGAGATTTTAAATATAATAGGTGATGGTTTATTTAACTCTAAATTTCTATCGCTATGCAGTCTCCTTTTGTATTATAAGTAAAATAAAGTGAATTCCTTACCAGTTATCTAAACAGTTATTATATTATCATTTTAGCTTTTTATTTCTAATATCAATCTTAATTATTCGATACTTGAAAGTACAGTATGTTTTATATTCCTAGTATATATTTTTATTATACATTTAGATGATAAAAATCTATAAATATTATATTAGTTGGGCCCAGTAATGATGTGCATTGCATTTAGAGTAATCTTAACATATTAATATTAATATTTATAAATACAATAATCTTTTAATGTTTAACCAAAGCATTGTGAATACTGTTGTTTTCATTTAAATTTAAAATCTTCTCAGTAAAAAAAACCTAAAATTGAAAAGTTTGGGTAAATGTTTTTTTATGTTTGACGGATAGTAAAAAAATTTAAATTATTAAAATCATTAAAAGAAAGAGTCGATATAACTAAAGTTGAAACTTTAATGGTTTTTTATTAGGTTTTTAAATAGTATAGCGAATAGAGTTGGGTTTCATGTATGCGCATTCTATCCTAAAAAAAAAAAAAAAAAAACTAGTGTAAGGTGGGTTTACTTAATGTTTTAACTAAATTCAAGAAGAACTATCTTAAGAAAAAAAGGAAAAAACAAATTCTCTCAAAAAAAAAAGAGTAAAAATTAAAAAATAATAATAATAATTAGCTTAGAAAAAAAAAGAAAAAAAAAACTTAAAAAGAAAAAAAAGCCCTCTTTTCTATTTTTTCTGATATTTTATTTTTTCCAACATTCTATTTTTTCGACGTCCTATTCTTTTGACATTTTATTTTCTTCAACATCTTATTTTTCTAACGTCTTATTTTTTAACCTATTTTCTAAATATGATGAATTCTTTTCATAAAAAAGAACCAGCATCAATTTGCACATTTTTCCATCACTAATAGCGAATATTATGAAAAGTAGTCATCAATTAGGATGCTTGAGCATCATCACGATTATTATCTAATTATCTAATCAATTGATTTAGATATTTGAAAACAGTTAAAATTATCGTAAAGATTACTTCAATTAATGTACATGATTCTTATAACTAGCAATAAAATAAAATAAAATAAATAATAATACATATAAACAGTTATTTTAAATACTTATTAAATTAATAATTTTTTTTATATTTATCTTAAATTAATAAAAATTAATACTGTAGTTATAAACCTAATATCTTTTAAATATTTACTGTTTTATATAGCACTTGTAAATACATAATCATAGTATAATCTTTCTTAATTATACTTGCTTGTCTATTAAGAAATATATCTTTATACGTATAGAAGTGTTTATAAAACTAAAGACTTTAAATTATTACTGATATTAGAGCCTATTATTAAATAATAAAAGAGATATCTTATCTATAGAAACCCATTAAACTATGTGATACGTTTTATCTTAATAAATTAATATATTGATACACATAAATATTACACAAATATGTCATAATGCAGATAACAAAAATTTATTTAATATTAAGCAAAAAATATATATACAATAATGTTCTTATTTAAGCAAATAAATATTCTTAAGCTATAATTGAATAGCAATAATAAAAGATTATCTATTCTATAATATTTTGTTTCATCCAGCTTTTCATACAAAGCAAAGTACGAGCTGTTTCAGGAAGAAGACGATTTCTTATTTTTGTTATTGTTCTTGCTACTACTAAAAATGTCTCTTTACAAGATACACTAGTTCTTTGAATAGCTAAATAATTACAAGCTATTTTTGCTAAAGTAGAAAACCGACATCCATTTAATGCCCACCAGTTAAGAGAATCTTTAGAACACGGAGGTGAAGATAAGTATAAAACTAATTCTTCTAGTGGTTCGTCTATTTGCTAATCTAATAAAAATTTAAAAAGCTCTCTTTTTTTGTTTTTAGAAGCAAAAATAGTAGTATTCGTAGCAAAATTTTGTAGTATATATTTAACCATTAAAATTGTATAAACTTGTAATAGTCTTATCTCTTTTTTCACCATATGCAAATGTTGTAAGTTTTGAAGATGGATCAAGAATTGCTGCAATAGTAATAGATTCATCAAGAAGTATTCAATATTCACTTAGTTTATATTGTATAGAACCAGCAATTATACATTCTTCCAAATACACTTTATCATTAATAAATTTATCAAGATGTTGAAGAATATCCCAAAGCACAAACAAACATCAGACATCATTGGGTAAGTACTAGATGAAAGTAGCTTAGTTGACTGAAGTATAGAATAAAGAAGACTAATAATAACATCAATATTTTCCCACTCATTCTTATTGAGAAACATAGATCCAAGTTGGTGCTTAGTTACAAGAAGATCAAGTTCAGTATGCATTAACTTAAAACGATATAGCATATCATAAGTGCTATTACATCAAGTGGCTGCATCAATTTTTAGTATAATATATTGCTTTTTATTTGTTGCGCAAAAATGCCAAAGATTATCATATAAAATTGTAGAGTAATGAACCTTGGATATGAAAGTTCTAACTTTCTCTATTAACTCTGTTTGTAGTTACATTTCATAACTAACAGCAATGTTAAGAATATAGGCTGCATATCTATAATAGTATTATAAAAAATTAAGAATATAAGGGTTAAAAAATATATATATTACTAACCAAGAGTTAAAAAACATATACTAAACTATAATACTTAAACTCAAATTCATTTCACTCCCTTTCTAATAAATCTCTACACAAAATCATTGTAGCATGATTATCCATTGTTAATGAAATAATTTTATCATTTATATTTATATTATTATAGAGTTGATTAAGTTTTTTCTTTATATAAACACTAGTATGGTTAAATTTAAAATGAATAAGATCAAGCAAAAATCATTTCATTTCTTATTTATCATTAATAAGATATGCAGTTACTCCAAGGTACGATTGATTTGAATATGAAGTCCAAATATCTGCAGTAAGTGCAATCTTATTATTAAAATTGCTAAGCTTTTCTGCAATAAGTACTCTTTGAGCTTGAAACTAAGACATAATTCAATTCTTTACATAGGTATGTGTTAGTAGAATATAACATAAATCAAGTATACTTATCATTTTGCAAACCAAGGGCTTTCAACTATTGCAAATGAAGCTTGAATATCAATAACAAAATTTAATAAAGATATGTTATATTCTTCTAAGCGTTGGGCTTCACCTTTACCATATGGCTTAGTAGTTAAAAGCTTATGACTTTGATTTAAACCAATATTACAATTATGCTGTTTATTAAGGTAATCTGCCAAGACACCCATTGATGTTTTAAGACTATATTCTTGTTAACAGTCCTTATAGTCACATACAACAATAGTAGTTTCATCTGGCTTTACTTTTTCATATATAAATTTCCACACAGGTGATAGCTTATTATTAGCTTTGTTACTAGTTGTTTGGAGTGATGTTGTAATTGAGCTTGTAGATTTGGAAATTTCTTCATTAATATCTAATTCTATATCAGATAGATTAAATTCTTCACCCGAAATATTTAGATCCTCAGTATCAAGCATTGTACCGGTATAATAATTTATTTTATTTTTCTTTGAATTGCAACTTTTTATACTTTTTTTAATTTATTTTGACTTTTAAAAATTGACTATTTATTTAACTCAGTTATTTATTTTATCGATCAGAGAATTTTTATTCATTTTACTAATTTTATTCATTTTTATTTCTAGTTATTTATTTAACTTGACTAATAATATTAGCTTATTACTTAATTATTACTTAATTATTACTTAATTATTACTTAATTATTACTTAATTATTACTTAACTATTACTCTAATTCAATTGTTCTTTATATTTTTAATTAATTATTTTAAATTTAACTCATCGTATCTTACACAATAACTTTTTACAGCTTCAGAATTAAAATAATACTTGTGCTTTATTTATTGGAGATTAACATATTATCCTTAAAAATAATTTATTTAATAATTACAAAAGAATGACATCAGTAAAATCAAGCGAAAGCTTATACTTATAGTAGCTATATAGCACACATGTAATAATGACTAATAGTCAAACTACACATCAACTAAGGCTAGCAATTCTGTGCTAATTTTTAAAAATACACTTTGCTATAATATGGAATTTATTAAAAAAGTAAGTTTTTTGTTAATTTATTTTATAAAAGCAATGCAGTATTTGTTATAAGTATGCATTTTATATTGTAAGCTTTATTTAATTAATTACATGCAAGAAACCATCAAATTAGATTTAGCAAAACAAAAAAAAAATAAAATATATCAAATCTATTTATGTTACTTCACCAAAAACTTTCATCGCTTATGATCACAAGTTGAAGTTATAATAACCAAATGTGAAAAAAGCAATATTCAATTGTCTAAAATCAATATTAAAAATAGGTTGGTATTTTAAATTTAATTGATACCAATTTAGAATTTAATTAATACTTATGTATTAATGAAGATCTAATAAGTATATTATATCTATTGAAAAATTTTCAACTTACTATTAGTAATGTTAACAGTAATAGCCAACTTCTTGCCAACATTGAATATTTCAAGAAAGATATGAAATCCAAATCTCTATCGGAAGACAAGTTAGTGTCTTATCTATTTCACCAAATTTCATATAGTTAATGAATATTCAGAAAGAAAATATTGATCAATTTGAAATGAAGGGCATTATCGAAGAACATCACAAAAAACAAACTAAATAGTTAAAAAGAAGTAAGCTATTATAATGTTGAAATTCAAATTTATTTGTATTATTCTATGCATTAAATATGTATTGTAAATTATATTAAATATTGCTTTATATTATTGCAAAAATAAAGTCTTAGTAAAAGAAAAAAAACATAAAAACTCGAATACATTATCTGGACCATCATTCAGACCCCAACCAGTACACATTTTCTGGGTGCTATATTAAGTAGGTATTTATGTTCTTGATTTGTAAATATTTTCAATTCAAATGATTAATAATGATCTTTATACTCATCTAAATAGAATGGTGAAATTACATTAAGAGAGCTATTTGAGGTTTTACCAAATAGCTAATTATGAAAAAACCAGGCAATTCTTGCAGTTTGTATAAATTTATAAATCTATAAATCAAAAAAAAAACTTAATTATTAGGATTTTTTGATTTCAAATTTATGCAAATCACAATAATTGCAATGAATAGATCACGATGTGAATAAAGTGGTTTGTATTTACATAATGGTAAATAGAAATTTGTATCCTTGATTTGTGTATTTGTTTTGCTGTTTTCAATTTATATAATTAATATCAATCAATCTTTATATTCATCTGAATGAAATAATTAGTATCACGCCTTATTTTGGACTACTGTGTACTTCTTGGTTTTCACTATCAGTCTTTACTTGCTTGGCTAACTTATCCATATGACCATGTATTGTACAGGTTCTTCTACCAATTATGTATATACATAGTTGATAGTTTATTCACTAAGATTGTTTTTCACTAAGGTAATTCAATCCTCAAAGCTTACAAAGTTCAAATCTTACAAGCTAGGTACTTTCTCTTTTAGGATCGATACCTTATATTAATTACTAATACATATTTTGTATCACTGATTATTATATACTTTCTCATCACTCATACAACTACTATTATTACTAATCACAAATTATTACTATATTGTTCATACAATCACTAATTTAACTTTTAATTAATTCTGTCAACCCCAAATTACATCATTTATGCAAATCCTGATCATGACCAATTATGATCTCTGACCCTTTTGCTACAAATACCCGGAGCACCAAAGTTAATTAGTGCGAATGAAATTATATTAAGGAAAAACCTAAGATCAGGATTATTGGTTTAATTATTGCAAGTTGTATAAGTTTGTGAAAGTTGTTGATCACCAAAAAAAATAAAAAAATAACACTTAATCGATCGTTAAGTAATTTTTTTCTTTTTTTTTGCAAATTTTATAAATTCATACAAACCACAATAAGCAATGTCTATCTAGATCATGTTGGAGTGGAATAATTTGTATATATGTATAGTATTTATGTTCATGATTTGTGAACTTTTAATTCAAATAAATAAAAATAATAGTTATACTCATCTAAATGAAATGATTAATACAAAGTGTTATAAAGGAACTGCTTGTAAACAAGGTTGGGCAACTGGACAATTGGACAATCAAAAATCTGTCCAGTGTCTAGCGTCTGAACTGTCCAGTAAAAAGCAAAAATAGATACTTTAATTTTTAGCCAATAGTATCCTCTTGTTAAAGTGCCCGCCCAACATTAATTTAGTCAAATTTTACTGAAAATTCAATATAAATTAAACAAATTCACCTGTTTTCAAATTAAAAATATATAGCTGCAACTTAAGTAAAAAAGAATTTATTTATATTTAATATCTAAAATAAAATTTTCGATTAAAGTTTGAGCTGTGTTTAAGCTATAGTTCAAACTATAGTTTAACCTATTAGTTTAACTAGCTTAAGCTATGACTTAAACCATAGTTTAAGCCATGGTTTAACTGGCTTAAGCCATGGCTCAAGCTATAGCCAATTGATAAACCTAAGCTATATTAATAGCCATGGTTTAAATTATAGCTACTAAAATAATAGCTTAGGCTTGGCTATAGCTTTATAAGCCAAGCCAAGCTAATCAAGCCAATTACATCCCTAATTATCAGGCTTTATAAAGAAAATATGTTTTATTAAAAGTATAAATTGTAATAGTTGAAGAATCATTAATCATTCCCTTAGCAAGTATATATCTCAAAAATTGAATAATGCAGATGTTAATATCTAGGCTAAGATAAGTATCACAAATAGTAATACAGATTGACCTCAGCTTAATGGCTAGGTTAATAGGCAAGTCAACTCTTAGCCTGTATCTTTGTGGGCTAAACTAGTTAATATTAGAATCAATTCTTTTCTAAAGCATATTTTAGACAGAAATTAAAGACTAGTCATTTATAATAAGGTAGGAGAAGTTGCTTATTTAGATAATAAATTAGCAAATAGTGGATATAATTAGTGTTAGCAAATAGAACAATAAAACAAAAGTTTGATTTTTTTGTCTTTATATAAAAAAATATATTTTTATTAATAATTTATAATTATTTAAGAGTCTTGTTAACGCCACCCCTACTTTTGTTAATAGCACCCCCAAGTGGCCAGAAACAGCTTCTGATCAAATTCTGACCTATGTCACGTGATTGCTATTCGAAAAAATTTATTTTGGTAGATATTTACCAAACTGCTTATACAATATACCCGGTGTAACAAATAATGTATATCAATTTTTAAAATATTATTTATACATCATGTGATGTGTAACACTCAAATTAAAAAAATTTGCATCACATGGGTACTTTGGAAAACGGAATATAAAATAATGAATTACTTAATTGACTTTTCCAAATCACCGTATATAATAATTTAATTTAGTACTGTGAATATTAATACATATTCAAATGCACAATAATCAGAAATACAACGTGTTCAATTGCTAAAATTCTTCTTAATATGTTTTTTTGCGAATTTTTGAAATATCTGCATTATTAGATTCAATTTCTAATAATTTATTTAAATCTGCAAGCACTTCATCACATCTATTTTACTTTTCAGTGCTTGATTGTTATCTAATTTAATTTCTAAGGATTTTTTAAATATTGTAAGTTATTTTTTAAATCTACATAATACATGATAAGTTGACTTCTATTTTTTAATTCAAATGCGCTATCTGGATTAGTTTTTAATGATCTAGTAATCCATAGTATTCTTTTATATCTGTTAATTATGCAATTAATTTCTCTTAGACATAATTAGATTTTGATTCTAAAATTTACTTACCAACCAACTTGTTTATCTATTGTATATGATTGAGAATACTTTAATGCCCAATATTTTATTAAATAAAACTTTTGATGTGTGTTTTAGAAATGTTCTTTTAAGGTGTTAGGTTATGAGCTGTCACCAGGTACTTGATGTATAGGATATATATAGATTTGCTTTCGACATTGTACCAATTTAAATTTTTTTTAATAATTAAAGATTGGAGATTAAAATTATATATAACCTGTCCATTATCGACGTAATTAATGTAAGTATGATGTAATATATTCAATTTGCGTGTGCTTAATCTGTCCAATTATTGATATACTTAACGTGAGTATGATATGTTTTTTTTTTTTTTAATATTGAGGTGACCACTTAGGCCCCTAGCACTTTATTAGTTCAAATGGGTGGGCTGTCCGAAGACAGCTTACATATTACATCAGTATAACGAGAGTACAACTAG